AGAGAGAGGGGGGGGGGGTCAAGAGACAAGAAAGCCGAGTAGAGCTGGGAGACGGCACATTATCACGGCGAAGAGGGACCGAAATGCGAGTCTGCGGGGACGGAGGAGAAGATAAAGATTGACAACACTGATTATAATGGGTTCCTGGGATAGACAGAGGAGGCAAAACGAGTGAGGGAGCCGGGCATGGACGGACACGAGCAGGCTCAACTCACAGCCAACTTCAACAATCGAGGAAAACAGCCCCTCGGGGGCGGCGTGCCCCGAGCATTGTTACACGTTTTGATTACCCGAGCCCGAGTCAAAGTAAAGGGGACATCGCACCGGTGATCGGCCCACGGGGCACCATCAGGGACGATTATTGAGAAAGTGCATGTGTTTAAGGGGAAAACACCAGATTAAAAGGGCGAGTGAACATATAACACCAATAATAACAATAACGATAATAACAATAATAATAATTAATCACATTACTACTACTACTACTAATAATAACAAGCACAAAATTCTTATTCATTAACCATTGAACATTTCAAATTACATACTGAAACACAGGTCTTGTCCTAAATGATGTAAAAAAGTTTTTTTGAGGGTGAGGTTGGATTTCTAATGACACAAAATAATGGTGAAAGATTATGGGTTTAACGACACTCTCAACACTAGTAAGTTATTTAAGAAACGGGACCTCCGAGTTTAATGTCAATCTCCAAAAGGACTGAGCCGAATAGAAAATTCGTGTAAAGTGCCTTTCACAAGGACACAATGTCAGACCGAGCTGAGGCTCGAAATCTCGCATCCGCAATCTCATGATTACGGGTCCGGCAGCCTCGACACCACCTCTAATGACACAGCATGTGGTATTCAGCCAGACATTTGAAGACAGTAACAAGCATTTTTTGATGAAAAGAAGGGTAAGATAAGAACAAAAACCAGTTTTTATATGGGTGACATATTAAGTTCATTTTAAGAAAAGACCCCCCCCCCTTTTTTTTTGTTGAGGTACCATTAAACATTGAAATTCAAAACAGCTGTACAAAGCTGACACAATGATCCCATCTGTGACTGTGCAGTACTATCCCATTTCAAGAGAGGAAAAATTTATTTTATTTGGTTCTGCCTGAGGGTGGAAATGATGAGGGGGGGGGGGGAAATTTAGTGACCATAGCAAATGACTTCTGTGTAGGAAACAATATATGGTCGCTTTTAAGGACAAGCGGGCTAACCCAGATTTTGGAGGTTTCCAGAAATCTTGACGCACACCAAAAGTGGGCATTGCCCTACCTATAGGACAAGTTTGGTTTCATTGGTGAGTATATTCGTTTGAGAGAAAACTATCCTTGTCTTTTAAAGAAACTGAATAAGGGTCCAACAACTTTACCTTTGATTTTCTCAGAACAGCATTTTTCGGGATAGCCCCCTTGTGCTTAAAAGCGACCATATATCACATGGCCAGAAAGCATTCTTGTAAGACCAGTTATCCCTCTTCCCTTCCTAGATGCATTATCATTTATTAAAAACAGCCCGTACTCATAAGGAAATAGCACATACATGTACGTCAGAGTAGAAATTTGTAAAGTAAGAACACACCTCAGGACAATAAATTTGGAGACCTCACCTCTAAACAACCTACTATAAGTGGGAGATCAAACCCATATACTTACTTACAAAATATAAAAAAACAGGCACATCAACATTACACCCCCCCCCCCCCCACCCCCGCTTCTTCAAACTGAACGGTTGAATATTTTGTATTTTGATAGCATAAAGGGGGTGGGGGGGTTGATTCATTGACCCCGTTATTGATTTCCACGGTTTGACAAAATTTGTCTTTTTTTTTGTTTTGTTACAGCTTGACTCCTTTCCCAACACGTGCTTCAACTCAATACAAACGATGGACATAGAAGCGAGAGGAAGGAGTGTAGCATCCCCCCGGAGAAGCTTCTTTCAAAGTTTTATTCGCATTCATCATAGCTGTTTACAAACTCCTGATAATCATTATTTTTTTTCTCTCTGTGTTCATCCTACCCGTTGGCCATTGGGAGAAGATGCTTGTCATTTTGGGTAGAAACTTCAGCTTTCAGGTTTAATGAGTTAAAGAAATGATCTCATTTTGTATGCTTTGGAAAATGCATAGGAAAAAACTATGTAAAACAATTTTTTAACTCCAGAAACTACACTGACATTTTAAAATGTTTATAAACTGCCATCTATCTGTCCTAGAAATATTTGCTCTGTATTGGAGGAGTTACTCGAATACAAAGATACTCTCACCCTGGAACAAAATAGCATTACTGCTTCGGAAAAATGAGGTCATCACAATAAAAAGGGATACCCAGACCACTAGTTGGAAAGCTAGAAAAAGTGGCTATGCCAGTGCCGAAAAAACAAAAAAACCTAAGGAAAGAAAGAAAGAAAGAAAGAAAGAAAGAAAGAAAGAAAGAAAGGAAGAAAGAAAGAAAGAAAGAAAGAAAAAAAAAACAGACTGAAAAATGAAGGATGAATAAAGCACTGGAATGCCTACGAGAGAGCAAGTCAGAATGTGAAATGGCCTAACAATTATGATCACTTAAGGATTTACACTTGAGACATCTCACTGTGTCATTCATTCATTCAAACTGAGAGTGATAGAGGGTGACTAAACTCTCCCAGCACTTTACATTCTATGATATACATTAAAACAGATTTTTAAAAACAAAACAAGACAGAAATAAAGAATGACAAAGAATAAATACAAATGGTACGGAATAGGAATATGGTACAACAATGACAGCTACACATCTCTTCCCCTCTTCATAAAACAGCATGCGAGCTCATGAACAGCTTGTTATATGAAAGACCTTCAGCAATAAACACACACTCGTTACAAAATATCATGCCAGTACAAATTCAAACAGAAACAACAGTTGAAAGTTTAGCAAAACAAAAAGGACACAAACACATCATACTGATGCACACTGCAGTCTGGATTAGTCATCTACACACTAAGATGTGCCCAGGTCTATAATAGCAGGCTTACCTTATCTACATTGGCCCTTGTTTTGGCAGATGTTTCCACATAGCTGACCTTCCACTCCTGAGCTCGCTTTGTTGCTTCATCCACACTTACTTGTCTCTGCTCTGCTAAGTCAACCATGTTGCCCACCAACAAGAAAGGAATGTTCTCATCATTTTTAACTCGCAGAATTTGCTCCCTGCCAAATGAAAAATACAACACATTAACTAGATTATGAATGAAGGACTGTCTTCAAAAATAACATCCGTTTAAAGATCAAATAAATTTTTTCCTAGCACACAACAGTGCTTGTAACTTACAGGAAGGAAAAGGTGGAAGGATAAGATCATTAACACCCCCCCCCCCCCCGACAAAAACAAATTTAAAAAATTCCAACCACACCAAACAACCAAAATAACCCCCCAAAGACAAACATCGTGAAAGATCATAGTGTGTCACGATAACTTTCCTTAAAAAGGAAACTTTTCATTAAGCAAAAGTCTTTGGTAATTTTGCTTTGAATACCAAAATTCCAAAAGCTACTTGAATCACAAGCCCAGCATTCAGTTTGGGAAACGAACATTAATGTAGGGCCAACAAAAAACAACCGAACCAATAAAAAGCATATTTAAAAAACATAAACAATAACTTTAAACAACAACTTTCTCTCTCTCTCTTTGTGTGTGTGTGTGTGCGTGCGTGTGTGTGTGTGTGTGTGTGTGTGTGTGTGTGTGTGTGTGTGTGTGTGTATGTGTGTGTGTGACATTTAAAAAAAAAAGGTTTTGTAAGTGCCATTGCACTTTAAAATTTACACCATAAAAATATGATAAGTTTAGAAAATTAGAGGTTTTACAAAGGAGCAGCCCACACCAGAGCAAACCCATCAACCATTCATAGATAGGTGTCAGAGTGTGTGTGTGTGTGTGTGTGTGTGTGTGTGTGTGTGTGTGTGTGCGTGCGTGCGCATGCGCATGTGTGTGTATCTTTGTGTGCTTGTGTGAGTGTGTTGGTGATGGTGGTATGGAGTGGGGAGATCATGCTGAGTGAAAGTGGTCAAAGCAAGAAGGAAGCCACTCAGCCATGGATCTTTTTGTTAACCAGGAGAAGTACTACATTTAACTGATCATCATTATACATATCATGATCAAAGCTAGGATGGAGCATACCAGCTGGACAAAAGCTGGAAAGGGCCATTCCCTTCTCAGTTTACATTTTACACAATCTGGACAGAAGGATTTTTTTTACACTTAAGCACTTCTTTACCCATAGCATAACCAAATGCCAACAAAAACATAAAACCTATTGAAAATAAAAAAGATGGTATGCAGTGCTGGACTTCATAACCACAGCAGCAAAAACAAAAACAAAAAACCCCACAAAAAAACCCAACCTCCCTCCCCCCCCAAAAAGAACCAAAATTTTTAAAAACCCAGCAGGATGACTGCAACTGGAGTAAAACCCATCATTTCTCAAAGAACCTTATAAGAGAATGTGGAATGTTTCACTTACTTTGAGAGTGTTATCAAAAGCAAAGAAGAACTGGTGAAGCTATTACATTGAGGACCCAGAAGGAGAGAGAGAAGGGATTGGTAACAGACTCGCCAACCCCCCAAATTCACATTACTTATTTCTTAGGCTGGGGAATCATGATTTTGCTTCTTTTGAAAATGAACTGCTTTATTTTGGAACTCACTGGGATTTCAGCAGTAAAAAAAACCCAAAGGCCTGAACGCAAACAAAATTTTATCATCGAATGTTAATTAATTTCTGGTCCCGACACTTGCTGGGAAAAACAAGAGGTATTGGCAATTGCTCACGTATTCTCAACTCATGATGAGTACTCGAATTATGCCGTATCGGGCAACATCGACAAATTCCAGGCCTTCCACAACGAGAGGTAGAGACCTGAGACAAGTTTTATAATCCGAGTAGGGCTCGACAGCAAGTTCCGAGCAATTGCAATCATGCTTACTGGAAAATCAAAAGATGCGCAATTGATCGTGTTGGAGCGTATTTGCGTATTGCTGCCAGTTTTGCGTACTAGAATACACGCAATGGCCTACAGCTTGGCAAGTCTATAGTAAGCAGCAAAATGTCTAGAAGTCAATAGAATTGTAAGAGGACCAAGCTTAAGTTAAAGAACCAGACACAAAGGAAGAAAATCGAAGTATAACTAGAAAGCCACTGAAATGGATCTCCATGATCAGAAAAACAGATGAATGCTAGGATCAGGAAGCTAGAGAGATGTGGAAGCTGATGTCACAGACTGGGCAAAACTTGGACATAAATGGAGAGAGATATGCAGGACACAGGCCTTTTTAGGGTAATTGTTGATGGCCTATGTCCCATAAAAAAGCAACAGAAAGACTGAAGTTCCATCTTACTCTCTGTGGTCATGGTGAAATACAGACAATATTTGGATCTGTTTCAAGAAAACTATGATGTGGATTGCGGGAAAAAATCTGGTTAGAATTATGTAAAAATATTGAACCCAACATTAAAAAAAGGAACTGTTTATGATGACAAAACCTAGAAATTCTATCATCAGCCTTTGATTATGATATATATATATGTCTCACGATGAGGTGGAATCAGGCGCTCATCAATTTTGGGGCACATGGAGTTATTGGTACCATCTTAACTCTTTGACTACCATGAGCCGATCTATCGGCTCCATAACTTTCTAGTTCGTGGCGCGGCTAGCGCTTTTCTTTCCCTTTCCCTTCCACAATTTGACTCAACCTTTTCGTTTCATGTTTTTAACTGCTCTGCTTACCATACATCAGTAAACCAGTGAAGGAATTTGGCGCCTTTTGTGTTTTATTCTGCTGTTTTTGGGGCATTTTTTCATGTCATTTTGACCCGCCCTGCGTTGCTCGAATTAGTTTACTCATAGCAACGGCAAAATGGCTGATGACCCATCAGGTTCCCGCCAATCACAATGTTTTTCTGCTTCTAAAGCCCTGGAAAAGTTTAAAACGTGGTTAGTTGATGATGAAGAGGAACTGTCAGTACTTTCCGATAGTGATGTAGGAGGTGATGAAGTTAGACCTGAGTCGGACAGCAGCGACAGCGATAAGAATGAAGATTCGCAGAGAGGGGCGTGTGTGCAGCGTTTTTTTCTCTTTTTTTCATTGTGAGTGATTTCACCAAAAGTGCGACAACTTTGTATATACTTGACCATTGTGCATGAAACTTGGCCCAGTTAGAGACAATTGTATAAATACTTCAGTATGACTACGTCATGAAGTGTCTGGATTTAGCAGCTATAAATCAGACACAAAATAAGAACAGGGGTACTTCTGAAATTCTAAGACTAAGAAATGCCTTGGTCACAGCACATAAAATGCCTTGGTCACAGCACATAAAATGCCTTGGTAGCCAAAGAGTTAAGGCCTCTCCATTTGCCTTGCTTTTGATGAAAAAAAAACAACATTTATCTTTACTACAAGTCAAGATATTGGCGATTGAAGGAGGTGGGGGTGGCCTGATTTCAGAGGTTAAATTAGCAAGTAAATGGCTGCCAAAGTTGAGTTATTTTTCTTTTGCTGGAGAGTCCTAGGAAACTGAATACTTACATCTTTTATGCATCTACTTAATGTTTTTCACAGAGAAAGGTATTCTTTAAAGGGTATGAAAGGTGTTGAGCCAAAAAAAAAAAAATTGAAAAAAATTCCCAAACCTGCGGAAAAATGCCAGTTTCAAGTCTCTCATTATTTTGACGAGCGCCTGATTTCACCACGCTGCCTCATACACACACACACATATATATATATATTATATATATATGTTATATATATATGTATATGAATGATCTTACAACATTTTGATGCATGTAAAATTGGCACAAATGTTCATTGTAGAGAAGCAGTCACAGAGTATATAAAGAACTATAATAAGTATAATCTGAGGTCGCAACAAAGTATGAAGTACACTATAAATGTGTTCTATACATTCAAAGATTTTACCACTCAGCCCTTTTTATTTCAGTCCCCTCAATCATTTCTACCTAATGGTGCTATTTTTTTGTGTTTATACACTTTTATCTGTCAAAGATTAATAGCAACATCAGGGAGTTAAGTCATAATGCAGGGATGGAAACTGATCAGCCCAAAATTTACGGAACTTTTCGCAGGCTATATACAGATTTGGAAAAATACCCGTATTTAATTGTAGATTAGTACACATAGTAGAATGACTCACCATTGAAAGTAAGTAGATAGGCATCAGGGAAGGGAGGATGTGTTTGGTTGTGTTACAGACGTCAGATCCCACTTACGGAAAATGACGGAGCAAATCAAAATTACGGATTTCTGTAAATTTAGGGAAAATTTCTATCCCTTATAATGGAAAGGTAGCCTCATTGAGAAACGGCATTACACACCATGTACATAGCCGCAATGTTTTTACCTGAAATCCTGAGTTGCTTGAAAAGACTCTTGTTCCTTAATAGAAAATACACAAAGGAATCCTTCTCCGCTGCGGAAATAATTGTCACGAATAGCTGCATAATCTTCTTGGCCTGCTGTATCCAGGATATCTATTTGGACCTCTTCTCCATCTAACACCACTTTCTTACGATAAGAATCTGCTTTCGTGGGCTCATAATCCTCCACAAACTGAAAATAGAAACATGACCAGAAAAATACTTTAATACAATTTCAAAGGAAGAGTGGTACTTCTTTACTATCAAATTTTATTTTTGAATACAGGATTCCAGGTTTCTGTTGCAACTGTTTTTATTTTGTGAATGAACTGTGAACCCTGAAATGAGAAGTGAGTGAAAAATCTACTTGATAAATGTGGAAAATAATCCAAAAGCTACCAGAGTATAAAAAGAGCTGCATTATCCATGAGGGAATTTTTCACCCTAGAGCTAACACTGACAATGACATTTACAGATGAGTACACTCGCAAACTGAAATTATAAAATATAAACGTGTTTACAAGTTCTTTTTCTCCACTTCACCCGTTTCCGCCCACTACACATTTTCGCTGAACAGGTTAACTGTTCCTGTCAGAAATGCTATTTTAAAAATCTTGTTTGTTTTGTTTAAATAAATCGTTGGTATTCTTCCTGCGCGTGCTGAAAGAACAAGTTAAGTTGGTGGTATTATTTAATACTTTACAGTCACACAGCCAGCAGTACAAAATACCCCATCTGGTCACCCAGCCAGAAGAGTGACTGCAACTGACTTTTCGGGCCTGATTCATAACTGCATCAAGTGACCGTAAAGTGTTACTGTGGGGAAGGTTCACTTAAATTGTGTTATGTCACCCCCGCCCTACGCATGCAGTCATTAAGATAGTGTCAAGATTGTCACGATTTCTTTTTTTTTCTCTTCTTACAGAGTCAAATCTTATCATAAAATGATTTCTTCGAACATCTTCAAATAAATATGGAATCAAACAAAAACATCATCACAGCATTATAAAAACGAATAAATAGGAGAGGTATAACCATTTAAGATGTTACCATACCTGCTATCCACTCCGAGACAAAAAATAAGAGTCAACCCCAAATTTATCCTCAAAAATAAGTGTCTCCAAATCTTAATAGATTTAAATGATGTAACAAACCTACATGGCAAACAAACACGTATTGCAATTCCATTCGAATAAATGAAAAAAAGGAGTGTATTTTCAGTTTTCCACATTATTTACAATAAGCCGTGCAAAAACTGCAAATAAACGCAAATATAAATGTGTAGTGATGCTGAGGAATCAGGCGCTTGTCAATTTTTGGGTATTTAGAGTTCACTTTATTAATATAATCTTAAAGCTTGTTCATTTGGCTTGCATTTGGTGAAAAAATGCCCGTCTATCTTGAACAAAAGTTGAGATATTTTGAGATTGAAGGAGGTGGGGGTCGCCTGATGTGAGAGGTAAATTAGCAAGGAAATGGCTGCCAAAGTTTGGTGACTTCCAAAGCTTGAGTTTTCCTGGAATCTGGAAATATACATTTTTGGGGGCCTTTAATCAACGTCTTTCTGCACCACCTACATGGAAATGTGTTTTTAAAAAGACATAAAAGGTGTTGAGCCCCCCAAAAATAATTTGGGGGGGGGGGGGGGGGGGAGGAGAATAAAAGCTGAACATCCAGAAAAATGCTGGTCTCTTCGATTTCACTGCTTTGACAAGCACCTAATTTCCCCACGTTGCCTCACAAATGTGTATTTTATGTCATTTACATTATGTTGCAAACCACCCGAACAAACCAGAATTCAAGTTTAAAAAATCAGCTTTTATACAAATATGATCAGTGTTCTTCTTTACTTTACATTACTTTTACTTTTTTCTTCCGCTTGTACCGGGGAGTGTCGCAGGGTTCTTCAACGAGGAAAAAAATAATAATTGGAGAACTCACAATTGTAATGGGGGTACTTGGCAGGTCTGTATTTCACTCTTCAAACAAAACACAACAGAAGAGTTATGCCTGAGTGTGCCAGTCCAATTAAACGTCAGTCTTGCCCTAAAAGGACTTCAGTCCATTGAAAAGCCTCCTTTCCGAGACAATAATACAAAAAAGTACTTAGTTCCTGATAGACAAAGACAATTTTAATTACGATATTTTTTATATCAAAGCCCTAATTCACTTGAGCAATGAGAGGCATACAAATAACCTTTGATCAAACTTATATATTTCATTGCTAAGGACCTCAATTCTTCAAAGACTCAAAAGAGCTTACTAACGTGGGTGCCAACACAAACAAATACAATATTCAGGAGACCCCTCAAAACAATATCCCCAACCTTTCAAATAAAGTGATGATGTGTAGTAAGTTCAAATGAACAAAGAGTGGGTGAGTGAAACATATTTTAGTTTGTTTTCCCTGGCTAGTGATATTATGTTATTATATATAAAAAGCAACTTGCCTCATCATACATGAACTGAAGTGTAAGAGCTGATTTGCCCACACCTCCGCTGCCCACCATTATCACTTTGTGTATAACAGCAGGCTGCTGGGTCTTTGCTTTCGACATGGCTGTGTTTAAAAGGAAGCAGCTGTGAACGACAAAGGTAGAGAAATCATACTTTAAAAAAATAACAATACAAAATAAAAATTTGTTTTTGTTAATTACCAATAGTCTTTACAGCAGTGCAACGGGGAGGATGAGGTGGAAGATATTCCTAAAGTAATAATAATTCCCTTTATTCAGCGCATCTACTCTCTACAGCTCTATGCTCTTTACAACTGTCATTACCCCAGCAGACCCTAGAGCACTCAGAAACATTCTCTGCTTCCCGGACAGTATACAGTACAAACTGCAGATTGCATGCACTCTTTCACTGTCTGTAGCCGGGTAGCCATTCCCACCAGGGCGAAGTGAGGAATATTTGTGTTAAAAGAGCCTCTCCTAAAGACACAACGCCCGGCCCCAGACAGGATTCGAATCCAAGACCTTGTGGTTGTGAGTCCAAGAGCCTCTAACTACAAAGCCACGGACAATACAAAATAAAAATCCCTTCCAAAGTTAATACTAATTCTATACAACCTATGGAGAAAAAAAAGACTTTTCAGTACTTCTACCTCATTTTCTCGTTGTTACAGCAACTGCAACCATGTGACTACTTAAGGTACTATACTCCCTTTACTGGTACTACTACAGAGCCTACCCTTAAACTATTCCTTTACCAGTGCCAGTGCTTTTATCAGCTGAAGCTGAAAAGTAAGGAACATTCTGCTGGGGGTCTGGGGGACAGCGTCCCGTTGAGGGGCTCAGGGAAATGGCATTTGGGAGCCTGTTTGAGAACAGATTGCTAACAACCCATTACACCTATTTTTTTTACCAAGGTTTTGTCTTGTTTGATCTTTCCACTGCTGGCAATGTTTAAAAGCAGGTTCCTCTTGCCATTTCTACTTATAATTCAAATAATTTATTATCGCATCATTGAAAGAATGCAAACTGGGAATAATGAATAAACATGTACCTTGACGATAAAGTGTAGAGTAGAGTTACCCAGCGTATACCCAAGTTTCCTCCATTTTCACATTTGAAAGTCAAATGTCACAGGGGGCTCTCGTGGCCTAGAGGTTAAGGTGTTGGCCTCTCATTCAAAGGTCCTGGGTTCGAATCCGGGTAGCGACCGAAAAATTTTCTTCTCTAAAATTGTCTCCTTTCACCTCCTTAACTGCTCTCTAGCAATGTTCTGTTGTCTGCTTTCATCTCCACTTTCTGCCCCCACCCCCTCACCCCCTTTGCCTCCTCCTCTGGGCTCCTGACTCTTTCTGCAGCCTTTCTACTGCTACTCCTTGGCTCCTCCTTACTGCTGTCTTTCTGCCACACCCCTGATCTTCTGGTAGGAAAGATCTACACCTAGCCTTCTCGGACAAGGGCGAAAAATCTCGGAGGGCCTGTGTGCAAGTTGCGCACGTTAAAGATCCCTTGGTGGTCTAAAATTGATAAGAGTAGGCTTCGGCCGCCACCTGGGCAAAATTCAAAATTTCCTACCAACTGAAAATATTAGGAGTGTCCCACGCGCTCATATGACCTTATGCAGTTGCGAGCGCCGTAAAACACTTTACAAAAAAACAAAAACAAAACAAATGTCACAACCTCGGAACACCACTTCGAATTATTCTTGATATTAGTAGTTTTAGTGTGGCAAAAAGTTTCTTTCTGATAGCGATTTTCTAACTATCACAAGTCAATTTACCAGAAAGGAGGAAATTGGCACAAAAAGTTTGCTATCATGGCTAACCAGATTTTGATCAATTCACAGGTAAAAATTTACTGCACAGCAACCCTCAATGAATGCATATAGTGGGATACTATTCGATTGCAGGAAATGTGCGATCTGCCAGGTTTCTAATACATTAACTTATTGTTGAGAGAATATAATCTGTAACCTAGACGATGAGATAATACCCCATCAAATTATGTCTTTCAAGTCTCCACATTGACAAAATAACCTCTTCCATTATTAACTGATAAACATTCAAAATGAACAAATCTGAATAAGGTAGGAAGAGAATGTCTAACAGTTAGTCTTCAACTTCTTGACAAAATGAATAAAAACACAACTTGTTTACAGCTATTTCTCAACCCTTTAAAAACTCCAAAGAATTCATGGGCCAGGGTCTTTAATGGAGGTGTCCCAACTCCATCTACAGTCAAACCCCATTATACCGCCTACCTTGGGATGAGCATGAACTTGGCCGTACAGAGGGGCTGGTGGTACAACGAGGTTTTCACGTAATCTGTTAAATACACATAGCATCGAATGCCCTACTCCAGGGGAATTGTTTACCAATCACAAGATGAAATAATGAGTTATCTCCCTTCGATCTGTCACTTAGACTTGAGTGTGAGTCCTCACTAAATGAAACCTCCAAGTTGTTCGGCTGATATCTGGCGCCTGATATTTTGTCGGAGTGCTGAGATGGTGAGGTTCCTTTAAAATTTCTCCAGGCGACTTCCAAAATCTAATTCTAATTTTTATTTTTATTGACCACATGGCCTAATAATAATAGCATTTTCATAATATAATCAATGCATTAAATTTAGTCATATTCATGCGGGGAGTGAAATTTGATCCTCAATTACAAAGTTATGTTTTATAATTTTAATTAAACTCTTCGTTATTGCAGATCGTATTGTGTTCACTTGCGACACCCTACATCACTGAAGATCTATCCATATTGCCTAAAATCTACAAGGCAAGGGTGGGGAGGTGGGATGGGCGGGGAGTGAGTAAATCTGCGGAAAGCATTTGATCTAGACCTAGGCCTAGCTCGTTGAGATTTATTGTGTGTGAAATATTGTCAAGCAACCACTGAGTGGATAATGGATGTGCCGTGCGCTGTGCGCAGCCTAGTGTGCAGGCCCTACTGTGTACTTCTGGTGTCTAGTTCATCGGCGATACAACGGGATAAATTTACAGTAGTTTAATAAGGACCGTACAACTGAGATAGTTGGTGAATGGTGGTGTAAATGCGCAAATACTATGTTAATATAGGGGGCACTTTTTGTACACTGGCATTCAACCTGGCGGTAAGCGGGGCTGGCGGTACAACATCAAGGTTTGACTATGATTCATGATCACCACAAAAGAAGTGGTGTAGCGTAAGAGTAAGAGGATGAAATTTTGAACAATTAATAGTGTTAGAAGACAATGTTCAATTAGGAAGCTTGTGGTCCGCCAAAATGGCAATTATGCTACAGCAAATTACTTTCAGAGTTGCCTTTCCGATTTGGTGTGTCTGCCCTTGTCTGTTGCAAAAAGTTTTATTAACAGAAAGTCTGTGAGCCCAAAGTTAAAGCCGTCAACAGTACATCAAGTATTCAAGAAGATCGATTTTAACATGGAACTTTCTAAAACGCATGCTTTACTTAAAGGAAAGGGGAACACTATTGTACATGATCGTGAATTCATCGGAATTTTAACAACTCCTGTAATTGCAGTCTCTGCTGCCCTTGGCAGGTAGTACAGGATTTAGGTTTTTGTTTCATGCATGCATATCAGTGACCAGGCACTGCAGCTGGCTTCCATAAACTATAAAGATCTCTAAAGTTAAAGACTGTTGAAAAATGCACTGAAATGGAAATAAAATTATGTTATTCCAATAACTCACAATCGATCAGTCTCTACATTCAGTGTTAAAGATCATAAAATTTCAGCATACTCAATGCTTCAAAATTTATTTAAAATTTTTTTAAAAATCTAGATTCTAGTTCATCTAATCTAGATCTAGATCTAGATCTAGATCTAGATCTAGATAGATCTAGAATCTAAATCTACTAGATCTAGATTCTCTTCCTGTGGAAAGAATGCATCATTTCTCAAACTAACCTTAACCCAAAGTCCATCCTAGTTCATCTCCTAAGAAAAGCAACCACCAAATTTAATAATTTGCAATAGACTAGGGGCTATGAGCATGGTAACATCAATTCAACTGATTCAGAACCCCTCCCTTGTCATAAATTAGATAAGATCTATTCTAGTCTATCTATAGAAGCATACTAGAATGCTAAATTCTTTTATAACACGAATCGTCAGTTCTAACTCATGAAATTTTCCAATCTCAATAGAGAATCAGATGAAAGCAAATAATTATATGATTGATCCTTCATGTAGAGGCACTACTTCAGAAAAATAACACACTCAACACTGGCCCAGCCCAGGTCCTCAGTCTCAGTAGATATTTGGTAGTGAGAGGGGGGGAACCGTGACACGATTCATTTTACACTTGATGCATATTAATTTGTAAAGTCAGACAAAAATAAAAGGTTTCACCTTGGAGTTGAAGACGACATGCGAATATTCTAAGGACAAAACACACAGTATATTCCGGCAAGAGATGGGTGATTCACCGAGTGTGTAACTAGCGCTACTGTCAACACATCGGTCTCTTCCTGTTGAAACCTCTACACAAGTTTAGAACAAAGTTTGGCCACAAACCGAAAAGAGATAAATTCTTTACCAATACAAATAAGATGACTTAACACCAACATAAGGAAAAGTACTTACAAGAAAAATAGATTTATAAGCGATGACTTACGTCTAAAAAAAATTAATTACACTAAATGTCAAAGACAGTTCATTTGATTAAAAGTTTTTTTCCCCGAAACTGGAAATGGCGATAGCTTACAAAGGTGTGATGGGATTGATGACGTCATGGTGACCCTGTGTAGTGACCCCGACTGGGGAAGTGCGTTTACAATGCTTGGGATGCAAATTTGCGCATAACTTGGGATGTTTTCTTTGAAAAATGGAGATTTTAACGTTTCATTCGCTCGTGACATAGAGATATGGTTGGATTGTGTAAGGACAAAGTAGTAACAATGTATTTGAGTGGTATTGCACCCGTCAATTTACAAGATAGTCTAATGAGACAAGCCACTACCAGAGGCCGCTGAGGATTGTTGAGTGCACAATCAAAGATGGCAGCTGAAACTGGGATACCCTCTGTTTATTTGGAGCACCAATTATCGCACGGTAATTACAACTGTTTGCGTTGCATATTGAGTGTATTTCAACTGTGCATTTGACATAAGTTGCTTGTTCAGGATGCTTGATGCATGTCATTTCTGTAAGTTTTATCGTTTTGCATACGTCTGGGCTGAAAAAGTAGGTCTGAGTAGAAAAGATTCGCTTGCTGTGGTGTGGTGAATGATGGAAGGAGACCCTAAACATTACACTGTACTTTCAGAAACGTAAGAAAATATCACTTGCTTTTGACAAGATCTAGCATACACCTTATAAGAATATATTAATCTGAACCTTGTCCAGTTAACTGTATGTCAATATATAACCAATGGACATAAATATGTGTCATTCAATGGATTTGAAAGGCTTTACACTTTCTTGGGTAGTCTCCTTCATAGATTAGACATTCTAGACTCTTGTTCAAGGTATAATTCTTCAAATGAAGTGATGTCTTTTTTGGTTTGATCTAGACCCTAGAATGCCTTAATTTGTTGTGTACTCTCGGTCTTAAGGTATCATTGTCTTCAAAGGTCTAATTTTTTAGAGTTAGTGATGATGATGATGATTCTAGAAGTATGTCTCTTTGCACTTTGCCCCTTGGATTTTCACTTAGATTTTGCTGTACATTGAATCGGAAGAATAATTTTGATTTTTAGCATCACAAATTTATAGAATCCATATCTTTGGGATGAGCTAGACTAGATCTAGATCTAGCTCTAGTGAGACAGTTTTTGATTTGATTTTCGAAGTGACTATTTGGACTCAAGTCCGAATATATGAAAAAATGTTATTCGGACTCTGATTCTTGTCCATCATGACATCACTTCCGACTTCCTGTGACTCGTGACTCCGGCTTCCTGTCCTGCCTCACTCGTGGCTCGCCTCAGGCTGGGTAGAGACCGGGATCACTTCGGGCAAAATGGCGTGAAATTGTGCAGGAGCCGAGTTTTTATTGTATGATGAATTTGAGGCCGGCCTGAAAAGTAGCGCTTTTAATAAATGTTTATTTGTCAAGAGGTCATCAGAAGCAATTAAAGATGGCTCGTTAGCGTGTGTCGGGGTCGGATGGGCGGCCTGCACACGTGTGGCTGTGTGTGCGTGTCGGGGAGGTGGGGGGGCACTATCGGTCCGGGTGTTGAACGTCGCATACGCGTCAGTCCCCCCCCCCCGCAACAGACCATTATTACAATAATAGGGCTAGTTTTGACGTAGATCTACGTATGAATTGTGCGCTGGTCTATGAAATCAAAAGTTGCCATATGCTCAGCTCTACACAGCAACACAACTTTTTCTTGGTAAACAATCGAGACGACACAGGCTTGTGTATTTGAACGAATCGGTCTTTTTTTTTTTTTACACAGCTCATAATATGCAGGTGTCAGGTGGTCTGCTAATCTTCAATTTTACCTTTTTCTACAACAAAGAAAGTGGGAAACGTGAGGGGGGGGGGCGTATCAATGAGGCGGCAGGCATTTGATCGGCAGAAAAGGTGTGGGGGAAACTAAAAAATGGCGGAAAATTGGAAGCACTGAACGATAGATCTATAGAACGAATACACTTTCTTTTTTTTCCGGACCCGAGTCGGAATAACATTTTCCCATATATTCGGACTCGGAGTCCGAATAAGATTTTTTTTTGTTCGGACTCGAGTCCGAATATGAAAAAATGTTATTCGGACTTGAGTCCGAATAATGACGGCCTTTGATTTTAGGCTGATTTAAACCAGGGCCCAGGTGATCTTGATCTTGATTAGTTCCCATTTATTTATCTGTCTCTCTGCCTCTAATACTCGTGGTTTTTCATTTTCTTCATATATCATCCCAAATTTCATGTGACCATTAGTCTATGATGTGTTTCTGTGTGGGTAAGATCAGTTGTCTAGGGGTTTGTCAGCTTGGAAGGTAATATTCTGGCTTACTGAATTCGTGGGAAGGAGTTCCGCAGAGGGCCGACACTTACTGCGACAAGGTCCACCAAGCAAACAATACAAGAGTTAGGTGCAGGGTTTAAAGTTAGGGTTACCTTAGGGTTTTATACGGTTTCGGGTTAGGATAGCCCACTCAGAATATCCCCTCTTTAGTGTGTTGTTGGTCGGCCAGCCCCTCTGCCGAACTCCTTCCAATTCGTGTAATGGATTTGATGATTCTCATATTTTCCAAGTCAAACTAGATCTAGAATATCTAGATCTAGATCTATCTCTAATAGATTGAATTATTCTTTTAAATTTACTATCACCAGAAATGTAATAATTAGGTGGTTTATTTTCTGACTTTTATTTACTGATTACTGCCATGTGTGACTAAGAAGACAATAATTATCGGCCGGCACTATTTCTCCGAACGTTCGGGAAAATAAACTTAACTCTGTTTCTCAGAAACGGTTTCCGCTCTCGAGATTTGTTGATAATATAAGGGAATGGAGTGGCCTGTGTGTGTGTGTCGGCGTGTGTGTAAGATGTGAACGGGGGGGGGGGATTTTTTTTATTTACATGAAGGATTTTAGTTTTTGCTGGGTGACTAAATGGAAAATAGGTTACTGCCAAGTTTGTTCGGACTTGTTTTCTCGCAGTACCTTTTGAAGGTATTTTCAAATGAAGTATAGTCCGGGAACGTTGCCCCAACCACAACTGAAGTATCTGAATATTCTAACATTTAAAAATCTCTAGCTTTAGAAATTGAATTCGATGCAAAAAAATATCTTCCCAGTCTTCGCAGAATGGCAGAGTGAAAGGATGACGCCTAAATCTCGCAAATAACCTAACAATCTCAAGTTCAGGAACCGTTACAAGAAATAAAGTTCAGCTTTATTTTCCCGAACGTTCAGAGAAATAGTCATTTTTCGATAATCATCCTTGAAATCTTAGGGTCAAATATTTATTACTTCTTAGAATCCACCAAAAAGTTAAAAAGTTTGTTACCGTCCGTTACTGTTAAGACCTGACTCAACTAAAATCATGTCTCAAGTTAAAATTGTTATTTCTTAAACTCGAGACACAAACATAACTTTTTGGGGGGTTTTGTATAAATTTGGTTGTTGATTAACAAATCTCTAGCTTGAGTCATAACAGTAAATTGGCACCTTCATTGGACACAGATCTAGGCCTACCACTAGTGAATGAATGTTGTGCCCCTCGTATGGAGCTGCAAGTTTTAAATAATTCCACCAAGCCAGACATGTTTAGAAGTGAGAACAAAATTGAAAATGGAACAGCTTGGCTTGGGGACTCTCACTCTGGTACCAATTGTGAGAAGTTTAAAAGAAGGGTGACACTACATGAAAGACAAATGTTGGAATTATAACGGTCTGATTCTAGTATTCTTGTCACACAGAAGGATATGATTGAAAAGTAATCTTAGCTGAAGTAAGCTGGCTGAGTGTCTTTTTGGAATAGACATAAATCTAAGTCGAGATTTTGGTCTGATTGCTTTCAGTTATTAAAAAAGTTCTCAGAAATTTGAAAAGAACTTAAGAGGAAGTAAGATCATTGCTGTGAGAATAACACATCTGCTTTATGGAATGGTCATTTATGCCTTGAAGAGGAATGATGTCATAAGGGGGAGGGGGGTGTTGACTTTCATGTGGTATTTTGAGTAGTAGTAGTATCGATGCCTGTCTGGACCATTGTATATTTGCTGTGAGCTAGTTCAGTTACCACACAACTTTTGCCTTACTCTCATTCATAGTGACATAGACCTGCAGCTTTGTCCTTATGAATATAATGCTGCAATACACATGGCTCCTTCTTTGACAATAGATGGAACTACCAAAAAGAAAGACAACTTAAAACTTCGACAGGCTCCAGCTGTCTGTTTCTTCAGTGCCAGCACAATGTATGTGAAACATTTTGGTTTCCACACTAAGTCAAAGAATTACGGGCAAGAAGAATTTCTGTTATAATTTGAGTCTTTGTGGCCTCAAGGGAAATTCCCTATTTTTCTTGGGTAATTGTTATTTATTTGTTAATGATTAAGTCACCCATTGCTATATATATCATATATATATATGTTGGTGATGTTTGGATACACAGTTCAGCATGGCAGGAGATAACCAAGGATTAACTTTACGTCATGCTTTTCAGATGAGTAAGTCACCTTGTGGTGAATGTTATTTAATGATCACATTTATTCATCTTTTTTAATCATTTTCAGTGGGCCGAGGAGCAAAGAAAACTAAAAGGTCTTTGATTGACCGCCTTCGCCACTGCAAGAGTTCACACAGTCGCTCGTGGAATGACAGCATAAAAACTGTCCGCAGCTGCGTTGGGGTAGGTTTAATGATTTTTTTTCTTTTAATGTGTGATCTCATCGTGTAGTCAGCCTCTTGGACATTTTGCTTGGACTGCTAAAAGTTTTGAGAAACTGTCTTGAATACAAAACTGACCTTTCTTTTCTTAAATTTTTATGAAATTACCATGTTGTGTAAATAATTGGACATGAAGTTTTGATTTCTACTCCTCTGGAACCAATAACCAAAAGAAACAATACGCTCAAATATTGTCTTTCTATAATTAATTAGGGTATGCAATGAAAGGTTAAATGAAGACATTATTTTCTTCGATATCAGAACATGTCGGCATCTGACAAAACCCAAAAGAGTTCGAATTCAAGCAGAGTGGGTTCATTTTCTGTTAAATGAAACTTTTGTCCCTTCAGACCTTTCTGTCTTACAGAGAAGTTTTGAAGAGAAGAGAAATATTTTGAGTATTGCTCTTTGCATGTTAAATTCTCTCCGACATTACAGGTAGAGAAAAATTACAAATGAATGGTTTATTTATTTCAACGTTTGCTTGGTCTTTCAGAGGCAGTTGGTGTAGAAATGCTTGAATTTTGTTTATTGTGGTTAAATTGGAAAAAATAAAGATTGTAAATTCTGTTGGTTAGATGTAGCTGTCATGGTGGGCATTATTACACCAACTGCCGTAATTAGTGAAGATGTACACCTGTAGTGAAAGTTTCTGCAGTCTGAAAAGGTTCAGAGTGAGGAGGTTTACTGTACTCTTTCCTGCTCACATTTTTCTCCAGCAATGACCCATTTATGTGCATGCCTGAAAAAGAGTCCACATGTGCAATTTTTGACTGTAATAGTTTATTGCATTTCTGCATAGAATGACTTCTCCATGATGGCTCTGTTTTAAATATTTTACAAATACATGTACAGATAGTTTTGAGATTGGTCGACTTTGTGAGTGAAGGGTGCACCAACTACATTTGAAATGTATACACGACTTTTTAAAGTTTCATGTATATTTAACCTCAGAAGAAATGCTTGTATGTCTTCAAAATAAATGGAACTTTAAAAAAAAAAGAATCTAATACTGTAAGTATCGCAAGGCAAACAAATACTCAAGAAAACTATGAATCAAAGACAGGATAATCAAACTGGTCGCTTATAATGCAGAAAGTTGTTTTTTTAGGTCAAGATGCAATATCAACAATGAACAATAAAATTTAAGCTTTATAAATAGCCTTGATAAAATTTGGTTAATTTAAAGAAACCTAAAAATATGTTTGTTCTTGTCTTGGGGTGCATCTACCTTTAATGAGTACACTGCATGAGTTGGTTGTGCAAGACTTTAATACAATAAATGGATAATATATTTTCCAGTTTCTTTTGGATGCTACTACATAACATATAACTGAGGTACTTAAGAATAGTATGTGGCGAAAACCTTCTCTAGATAAGGCTATCAATAGTTGTCAAAAATCAATGTTGCGTAATGAACATGTGTATGTGTTTTTGTTTTTTGAAGCTTTCAAAAATATATTTTGAAGAAAAGTTGGTGTAAAATATTTAGTTAGGATTAAGTTGCTGAGTGATGTCATGATAAATCTTAATTTTACCCCAAAAACGATTTGTCACTATATTCCTCGTTTTCTCAAATTAAGCCTGTGTGACATCTGAACCCTTTTCTGAGTCATACACACACCTGTTCAGCGTCCTGTGCTCTTAGTGTTCACTATCACTAGAAATGAAATCAAGGCTATAGCTTAATGTTGGCGATTTTTTCCTTCCATCCAAGCTTACCATTGAGGAAACTCCTTGAGAGAAACAAGAGCTGCACCCATCTGGTTTTGGCTAGGTTGAACAGGAAAGGGTTATGAAGTAGATTTTTTTTTAAAATTTTGTGCAATGACGTTAAAATCTTTGTTGAAATTTTTAAAGTGGTATTATAATATGTCGCTCAAACTTTATATTTATAATAGGAGCGGCGTTCACAAACAGACGCAAGTGATTCTACTCAGGTTCAGCATTGTTTGGACACATTGCAAAAAGCTATGAAGGGTGAGAATATCTGTTGCTGTCTTTCTGCAGGGCAGTTGTTTATGGGTTTTCCCATGTAATCATCCTTATTGTCTTTCTCACCCTGTGTCAGGGTATAGGTCAAGAACAAAAACTTTCCACCTTTCCCTGTCCTCTTGATGTTATTCCATGTCTTCCCACTTTTCTGTACTTCAATTTCTGTTACTCTTCTCCAGTTTCCATGTCTTCTTTTGTAATGTGCTCATGTTATTAAAATAAGATGGGTAAAGAACTTCTCCCGTTCATAGTGATTGTAGTCCAGAGGTGAAGTCAAGAACCAGTGGGGGTTGTTTTTTTCAGTCATTGTAAACATTAAATTTTCTAAGGTGTCGAGTAATAAGGGTATTGTGTGTATAAATGCTCTCCATGTATTAGAATATGAATGATGGCTATTAGTGGTGGGCCGATACCACAATTTAGGTATCGATATCGATACCTAGTACTTTTTCAAGGTATCGATACCGATACCTCGATACCTAATGCTATTGGTAACACACGCCGGGGGTAATAAGTAAAGACAAAAATACAACTATACTTTTCCGAGTATTTAGGTAACTGTGTCTAGACAAGTTGTGACTATTTAGCTGAGACTCAAACAAAAATTATTTGTAAAAGAGAGAGAGAGAGAGAGAAATAAATACCCAAATATGAGAATAAAAACAACAACTAAGTGAAGTATGGGAGGAAAGTCAACTTTGCAGAAAATGTTAGAATTGGAAAATAAAAACACAAGAGTTCTAAAAAGGCAATTCAATTTACCAGATTTTTAGCAACTTTAAATTAAACCAATGAGGATGAATCAGGGTTGTCAGTGAGGATTTTGCAAAATCACTAGATACATTTCATGAAAAACTTCTCTCTTTTTGTTAAAAAATCACTAGATGCATTTAAAACGCTTGCCCCCTACGAAAACTTATCAGTTTTGATAAACAAAAAATTTTCAAGGCCCCAGTCACTTGCTTTGGCAGCCCTGGGATAAATAACACTTAGGTATCGATGTTTAGAGCAGGTATCGGTACCGATACCGATACCTATAGGTATCTAAGTATCGAGTACCTGGTATCGATACCTGCCCATCACTAATGGCTATAGTTAAAATTGATGTAATGAACTTGGTTTTTTGGGGGGGGTTTTGTTTTTGGTTTTTTTTTTGGTTTTTGTTTTTGTTGGTCATTTTGTCTTAGATTTAGAAATGTAGATTTTCATTACTTTAAAAACCTTTCCTCTTTACATTATTTTCGTTGGTTGGGCCCACACCATTCAGCGTGTCCAGTGTTATGAAGATGGAATATTGCTTTTCATTTTTATCTTTAAAAAATATAGACATGGTATATTTTAGTTTTTAGTTCTTTATCAGAAAGTATTCTTATATATTTTCACAAGAGACTTCATATTTTGACTACGAGTAAGAGACCCTTGTAACTCTTAACTGTGCCTTTTTTCAATTGACTTGTTTGTAATTTTGTTTTGTTCTTTCTTCTTTTAGTCATATCACCACAGACTTTGAAGGAAAGACTGGACCTCATAGGGCGACAGTTGGGCTTAAGTGTCCAAATTCAAGAGCAGAAGATTTCTTTGGGCATGGATGCTTTTCATGTCGAGGTCTTATTAGGAGAAGATGGAGTCATCAACAGTGTGAAACTTGCCAATCAGGGTGATGTCATGGTAAGAAGAATGACATTATATTCTGTAGCAGCCCACTATATTTGCTCTGTTTACTTTACTCGATTTTTCACTTTTTCCCTGAAAAGTTTTTCCCACCACATATTGACATGAGGAAATATTGATACTATAAGTGTTTGATAGGTTGAATCTCTTTAATAGCACGGCTCAATAGTGGACATAAATCTAGGGAATGTATTTGTGTCTCAAGCTTTAACTACCTGGTTTATGCAATTAATTTTTAAGGCATCAGGTATTCTGGGACAATTTGTGTTCATTTGAAATTGTGTTGCTTTCTAAGTTTTTGCTTAAAAATCACCGATAGATTCTCAGGTGTTGAACTACTTTGGGTTTTTTTGGTGTCATATTTACTGTTGTTGTATTTTTGTCTCTAAGTGTTCTGAAAGTTGTGTTTACGGAGCTTATATTTTAACTAAATGATTTCTTGTCATTTCAGGATTGTCCTGACTTAAAAGATATTTTGAAGTGAGTATAGTAACCTTGGCATTAGTGAGTTATTATTTACAGTTCATTAACATTTTGGTTTCATTTTTAACACTAGCTTATTGTGCATACTTTGGCCAACTTTTATATTTCCAGCATAGGAGTGTCCTGCCAGACAGCAGAACCTATCTCTTTTTATAGCAGGCTAAATGTAATGAAAATGTTCATAGTTGATGGGTTGAATTTTTTTTAATGTAGGAAATTGATATCTGTGTAGGTTAGAAATTATTTGGTGTGCTTCAGTAGAATCTTACACTTGTTTGATCTTCCATACAATGACTGAAAAACAAAAACCCTCTTCAGCAACTGTAATGACAATTTCATCTTTTTTCCTTGTATTACTTAAGTTATACAGACTTGTGGAACTATGCTATTATCTATATAGAACAGTCTTGTTGTGAATTGTTTTTGTGTTGCTTTCTTCATACTTTTAGGTTCCTCTTTCCCCATTAAGAAAGTCTATTATATTTTCTTACAGACGCGGCAATTTCTCGGAGTTTGTTGAGCATTTACAAGGCCTTCAAAGTATTTATCAAGTTACTTCTGATGAGTAAGTATCTGTAGTTTACCAACTGTAGCATGCAAAGATGGGAAAAAAAATAAAATAAAAGATAAAAATGTTTCAATTTCAAAATTGAGAAAATTTACCCTGTTCTTTGAATTATTGCAATTTTGTTGAAGTTTTTCATTTTTAAATTAATAAGTGTTTGTCAGTTGTATTACAATTTGCTGCTGCGAAGCTACATGAGTTTGTGCAAGCTGAACTACCATAAATGGTGTGACCCAAGACATTCTAGCATGAAATTCATCAGTTTATTTTTGAAAGGTTGTAAAGAAATGTACAGTTGTGTGTAAAGTTTGACTGTATTATTATTGTCTTGTTTGTTAATTTTAATGTCAAATTGAATTTACCTGTTTTTGTGTTGAATTTCTCTGTTCATGACTTAGTAAGCCAGAACCTTGAGTCAATGTGTTGGTGTACAAATTTTTATAATTTGATTTCTGTTGCAGAAAACTCAAATCAAAAGCATTTCTGGCTCTTCAAGCTCTTGAGAAAGATCTCAATCAACTTGCTCAGTTTCAAAAGTAAGTACTTGCTTTAGTTGGTGTTTTTTATGTGTCGGTACAATAAAAATGTACCCCGTATTATTTTTAATTATGTAACTAAACATTTTCTTTCTTCTTTTTTTTGTTGCTTAGTTGTAAATGTATCAAAGTGAAAAATGTGTACTCAGCCAATTTTACTTTGGTAAACTTGGGATGAAAAACAATCTATTAAACTGGAATTTCCATTTTATGTAATGAGACTCTTGAATGGTGAATATTCGAGGACTAAAATGTGGCATGCATTTTCTATTTCAGTTCTATCAGTGGAGTTGCCAACTACATTCATAAGTGTCCCTTGGGAATCATGCTGCCTCGACTTGCTGGTGAGTTTGACATTACAATTTACTGGGCAGAAGAAAATTGTTTCTCTAAGGCCATTGTTCTTTTATCTTTTCCATAAAATCAAGGTTGCTTTCATTTATTTGTTGTTTTTTGTCTGACTAATTGTGCTCATTACTTCATTGAAGTATTTCTTGGGTAGTTCGGGAGAGTGTTTTGTCAACCATGCTGTTATTGTTATCAGTCCTGTAACAGCTGGGCTCTCGTAGTAATAAGTGCAGGTTTGTAAGCTGTTATTGCATACTATTGATAGCTTTAATGTAACTTAAATGGTTGTGATGTATTGATATTGATAATATGATATGTTATGCCATATGAATATCATATTGACTGTTAGAGATGTTTTATTACCTGTCAGAGATATAGTACTTCTTTAGTGAAATGAATTTGTAAATGTGTGTTTGTCTCCAGGGAAACCTATGAAGCTGATTTATTTTGTATCACCTTATGACTTGCTGGACAAGAAATCACTCACTGCCCATCCTTTGACTGTTGAAGGTATTGCTATTGATGTCTTTGTGGCTTTATTACACCATAACTCCCTGCCATGTACACTGGGCACTCCCGGTTGTCACAACAGTGTAGAGGGAGGGGTAAACAGATGTTTGCTGTGTAAGAATTCAGGGGAAATAGTCAAAGACAAAGTTATTTGTGCATTCTATTGATTGGACTGGTTGTACCCTCATTTTGTTTCGGCATTTAGCTTGATCTGATATAATTTGTCTTTCTACTCTTAACGAACAAAATGAAAGGGCAGATCAAGTCATCCCCCAGGGCGGTGCTACTGACAAGTGTCTTTAGGCCGTTCCCAAAGGGGGTGCATTAACCTGTTCTTATGCACAGTAGAATTGTAAATGGGCTGGTTCATCGATGTTGTGCTCTTAAATGTGCCTGAACTGCAACAGGAAATTGCTGCTTTTCTTTCCTAATCCTTACTATCGTCATTTTCCTCTTCTTCTTTTGTATGTTTGTCACACTCTTGTGACCTGCTATTTTCGGGGTGCCTTGATATTCGAAGCAGACCCTGTGCCGTTGAAGCTAGAGAGGTGAGCAGAGTAAGTCTTGATTCCCTGTAAGGACTTCTCTGTTGACATCCATCCCTTGTCGTTCATATAACCTTATGCAGTTGCGAGCGCCGTAAAACCTCTACTAAAGCAAAACAAGCAGATCTAGTTCTGTATTCACAGGCTGATTTATAATAAATTGTTAAAGTTTGGAGATGACAGCTGGAGTGTGGTGGTTGTGTACGTGTATGCCTACTTGTGTGTGGATTGAAAGATTGGGAAACTGTGGCTGGAAGCAAGGTGTGCTGGAGAGCTGCTGCGCTGAGGTGGGGGAGGCCAACTGGGATGTGGGTTCTGACGTTGAAAAAGCAAGTGGCAGACTTATCTGTATGTTGTGAGTTGTGTAGGGCTGACACACAGATGCACAGGTCAATGTCGGGCACAACATACTTGGCCTATTAAAAAAGGTAAAGATTGAACATCTCCTTTGTTTCCACCCTTAGCCCCACCCATTAATGTAATAAGCACATAAAACCAATGCCAACCCTCCCTAACCATAATAATGATTCTGGGAACTTTTTTCTTGGCTGGCTGTATGTTGAGAGTAACAGGCAGTGGTCAAATTAATTTAGATCGCTGGTGACCCAGTCAAGTTTCCATGCTGGAGCGTCACTCGAGCACTTGCACAAGCAATGGTGAGGTTTCACACTCACGCACTGCCCTGACCATTTGCACCGCTCATGGCTCAAAATGCACTTCTTACCCCCTTCCTCACTTGATTGAGTGGCATAAGGGTTAGAGCTGATGGAACCAAACTGTCAAATCAGGGCTGAGCAGACAAAGCATTTTTCGTCTTTTTGACAGGTCAAAACTGTTCGAAGTGAGTTGTTGGCGGGTGCTCTGGTGTGGTTTGTTTCTTCTTTCCTATCAAACGTCTATCGTCCTTATCTTTCCTTCTTCTTTTAAATGTTTGTTACTCTCTTGTAACACCTCTAATCTTCTGGCGCTCATATGACCTTATGCAGTTGCGAGCGCAGTAAAACCTGTTCTAAAACTTCAACCGTTTCCGGGTTAAGCAAATTCCCATTTTATAGAGGAATTTATCATTGGGGGAGGAAGGAGATTTTTTATAGGAAGGTGTGGCCGCAGTCTTGATTTGGCTTTTTATGCTTTTCCTCTCGTATTCAAATTATTATCAATATTTTGTTTTGTTTCTTCACAGCCATTACTGAGAACTTTCTGGGGCAAAGTGTGACTGTATGTATTGAGCCAGTGCCTGAGTCAGCCCCTTTGAATAAACTCCAAACAATGCCATTGATGAATGTCAGCATCACTCAGGATGGGAAAAGGTGTGATATATATTTTTGTGGACTAGGTTCTTATTCTATCACTCTTTTAAAGAGGATCTTTAGCAAACCTTGTGGTAGTGGCCCTTTTCCTTTTATGGCTACATTCAAAGTTGTTCTATTCTTGGATAACCTTAAGTGAAAATAACCTGTATTAGAAGTGCACAAACCTATCTATATCGAGTTTTGTTTACGTTATGGGTTGAAACATAATTCTCAAAATCACTATTTTCATGTAAATAGCTACAACATATTGTCTTGCTCATTTTTTCAGTTATGTTTTTAAAAAATATATGTATGTACAATTTCCTCATTTTATTTCATTTTTTATTTTCCGCTCCATATTGTTAAACTTCCTTACAACTTTTTGTCTCAAATTGCAGCCTTCCATCTTTTTCTGGTGTCAGCCAGATCAACAGCATGATGCTGCCTGCCAGTTTTGTACTTGTGCTACCTCAAAGCATACCTGTGTCCTCTCAAATTCTGCAGAAAATCACAAGTCTTACAAGTGAGTATTGATTTAGGGATGTAATGGTGCATGCAGTCTGCCTCTGAAGTACATGTGTTTGAAAATTAAGGGCCATTTTGCATCAGGAACTTTGGGAATGAGCTACAAGTTATTTTTCCATCTTGCAGGTTACATTAACAGACCTGCCACTCATCCCGATTTTTTTCTTTAAATCTCAAGCATCCGGATTTTCGCGATTTCTATCGCATGTATCTCAATATTTTTTGTGCCGTCTGTTGCGCTGGATTTTTCTAAAAGCTTACTCCTCTGTCCTGGGAAGCACCCATTGAACTTTTTGTCCTCAGGAACTCGGAGCACTATTTTTCTATATTCGATGCCGGATTTAGTAGTTGACTCACTCCAAGTGGTGTGGGATCCTTTGCTCGCACGCGTTATTTCAACTATAATGGAATTAGTATCGATGTGGCATTCTGACTGGGGACATTCTCAAGATCTACTTTCGCTTTTGTTTCCACTCAGAATTCTCTGATAATGGCTTGATAACTATTTCAATTGCTACATACAAATGATCATATTATTATAATAAAATATTATTCATAGTTCTGCTGTTGCCTTCAAAACAAGCTTTCTCCAAGTTCTGGTTAGTCGGGCCTGTCATCTAGACCCATCTCTCCCATTTGTAAAACTGTTTTAATTGTGTGTTCGTATCACATGATTTCGGCATGTGAGTTGCGCGCATGTCGAGGAGTCATGCGCGCTGGTTGAAGCGTCTTTCGAGACTAACGGCTAACGGGGGGTAGACTTTGGCTAGGAATCCTTGATATGATACTTCAGTATTTTAAAAAATTATTATCACGCACAGAGAGAGAAAGAGAACATATACATGGATAATATTTATGGACAGCCCGGGGAATTTTTAAGTAAGCTTGGCAGTCACCTTGGGGATTTGTCGTTGATCCTGATTTTTTTTCACCAAATCCTGATTTCTGGATTTCATAGAGTGGCAGGTCCTGCTTTAAGAATAATTTATATCTTAAGAAACAGCCTGTGATTTTAATAAAAGATTCTTATGTTGGTTTGTGTTGGAGATCACTGTACTTGCATTGAGAAATTAATTCTTTTTATATTTTCAAAGACATGTCATTATAAGTTGGTCATATTAACTTGGAACTACCATTTTTTTCATTCCCAGATCTAGAAATCCACAAAGAGGCAGAAAGCAAAAATTTGCATTCATTGATCTTGGAAAATTTTTCAAACCGGCCTGTCAAAGACTGTCACAAATTACTTGTGGTAAGTTTCTTGTATAACTTCCTTGTGCTCAGTTTTAGTTGTACCTCAAGGTAAAGTGATTTACATTTAGGATGTCTTCTGAAGGGACTTCTCTTTTTGATGTTAGCCGCCCTCCCCTTACGGCATGCGCCAGGTAATTCACACCACAAAAGAACTTGTGTGCATTGTTCATTTCTTGTTTGCTGTACATAATATATTCCTCTAGAAAAGTTCTCTCCTCTGAGAGAGGCATACCAGCTTTTGATAAAGACAAGTCCAGGCGATTGACAACATGTAGCTGTGTTTCTCCTGTCTCCATGCAGTTCAAGCTTCTAATGTAGTTCAGTGTCTTGTGAAAATAGTTTCGCATTTTTTTCCTTTCTTTTGTCACACAATAGTTTGAATTCTTTTTTCAACAGTCACTACCAGATCAGCAGCATATTTATTTCCTGAATGGAGGTGGACAGGATCAACAGGGAGTGATGATCTCCCGGATCCCTTTCACCCACCCAACTCATGTGCCCAAGATTCTCAGTCTCATGAGGCAACAGCTGCTGTTCAATATCGTTATTGCCAGCTGCATTAGGACAGGGGCAAAGAAAGGTGAGATATTTAACTTATTCCTTTATTAATTTTAAGTTTTTTGTTTTGTGGTCATACTGTTTTAATGATAGGGAATTAACAGGGTTTTGAAGATACCAATATATGAAATTTTTTTGTTTGTTTTTTTAAACTTTCAGTTTAAAAGATGAATATGACCTTTTTTTCCCCTTTGAAATAGTTTTTCTTCATTATTTATTCTATGTTAGTATAGCATTCAAGTTTTTTTTAAATTTTGGTGGGGGGTTTATTTGTCCTGGATTATGTTTCTTGTTTCATTTTGTGTTTAAATGATGATATGGGTTCTGAAATTGCCTATTTTCTTCTTCTGTAAAAACTGATTCTCTTAATTGTGTTACCTACAGACACAGTGAACAGTATTGTGTTTGAGGTTTCTGCTGTGTCTCTGCAACAACTGACCATCGTGTTTGAGCACCCAGCATATGACACTATGATTACAGGTGAGAGGCTGTTATTTTTGTATAAAATGTATAGCTACTGTGAAGTTAATGATGAATTTAATTTATTTTCAGCTATACTTACCTCATCCAGTGATTATGTCTGAATAAAATATAATTTAAAGAAATCTTGTATAGTGGCATATGAGAAAAGTTAAAAACTGCCCTTTTTTTTTTTTTTTTTTTTCAACGTTTACTGAGTAATGCTTGTGTGGGGTAAAGGATAGAACAGTGTTAGAGGGCTTAACACTTTGCCACGTCATTTCGCTGATCGGCAATGTTTACCACCCAGTTTCTTTGGATTTTCCCGAAAATGCCTTTGCCTTTGATGGCAAGAGGTTTTACTATATGGGCCTTGTGGCGGCAAAGTGTTAAGTTCTGAAAATGTTTTTGTATGTCTGAGTGGTCAGTACTTGTGAAATGGTTTTTACTGAATGAGTTGACTTCTTCTTGATGGCATCACATTTGAAGACGGGCATCGATTACATATCGTACTGGGTTGTCCTGCTTAGTTCCTCGGTTGGTCTGAAAAGTTTTCCTATAGTGTTGATGGGGTGGACCATGTTTTATGTCTGTAAAGAATAAATGACTTTGCTCTCCCTGGAGTTGTGAACAATGACTTGGTGTGTTTCACAGTTGATATTGATCTAACGGACATCACAAACCTGAAGTGTCGAGTGACCTGTACCAATACAGATCATGTCCTGTGTTCGGATGAGGCAGTCTCAAGAGTGTTCCAAAGGTAAAGTTATTTCTGTTGTTTGTTAAAGGAAATTTGGATATATTGAGGTCTGACCTGCGAAGTACTCCCAATAAAATGGCAGCCTGTTTAACCCTAACTCTGGCAAGGGCCGGCCCATTTCCTGCTGTGAAGCTGGCAGGGCCAATCTCATAGGACCATATAGTGCTGCCTCTGCCTTCCAACTATATATTTGGGGCTGCCTGAAGTGATTTCTGATAGGCTAAAGGGCTAACCTCCTACCAATCAGAATATTTCTACCTTTCTGACTTAGGGGAAGAGTACTTTCCATTCAAAACAGAGGGATGTTTTGAAAGCTTGTTGGTCAGAACACAGGCCAATGTAGATCTACCACTTTGTGCTACTCATGTGAGTCTATAATGGCCAAAAATTGATCTTTGTTGGATACATTTGAAAGTGAATTGACTAGGGAAAGTTATTCAAGCACTGTTAGTGGTGGATTTATTGGTTTTCAGTTAAGAATTGGGATTAGATCTGACAATGGTGATACCAGTTCTCATCCTGCCCCAACTTCTCTTTCAAATGGAACATTACCTTTGGGAGTCTAAGAGGGGCAGAAAAAGGAGAGCTGTATAGAGTAAAGTAGGTTCCTTTTGCAATAATACTTATTACAGACTACCAGCAGATTGCTGAAAACCATATAGTTGTACAAAGAGTGTTTTTATGTTGAGTTAGGTGTGAAAGTTGCGAGTATCAGTTGCACTTGAAACAGACCACAAGACAAATTGAAACAGTCATAACTCATTACCTGTTCTTCTCAAACCTATAAAACTATACATTTCTGAAAGGTTATTGAAAACCCTATATTTCTGCTATCTCATATTTTTTATACATGAAATATGTTAGATCGGTGAATATGGTAATGAGCATGTAAATTTTTTGCCTGCCATCTTGGATTTCAAAGTTATATAACCCTTTGTAAATTAAATCAAATCACATGTTCAAAGGTAAAATATAAAAGTTCACTCAATTACTTTTCAGAAAATATATACTTTTGTAGGGTTGTTATTTGATACAAGTTCATAAATTTGATTGTAAAGCGTGTGCACATTTTGGCTGATTAGCAGGGTGTCCAGCAAAGTCGTAAAGTCGTAAAAAAGTCGTAGTAAATTCGGCGCTCTGGTCGTAAAGGTCGTAAATGGTAGTAAATGCGCCTTGAAGTTAGTAAACATTTGGTAAACGGTCGTAAATTAATCTGCGTAGGGAGTGATGAAGCCAAAACAGGCTTCATTGAACCCTAGCCGTGGTACATGACTCCGTTTTAGCCGGTCGCTATTGTGATATAATATTCGTTCTCCTTTT